AATTGAATCAATATTGAATCAAAATCTCATCATTTTTTTTTTTATATTGGAAATTTTCGTAACAGAAATGAAATTTACGAATCTCTCTTTGACGAATATAGAATGTTCTAAATTATTCTTAACTTTTTCTAGGTCAAGTCCAAACGTGGATGGAAACGGTGTGGGCGATGTTTGGTTCGTCAAAAGTTGGTGGTGTGGAGGGGTTCAAAGTACGACATTTTTATCTGTTCCCTTCACCCTTGTCATTTTACAACGTACTTAGGGTATTTTATCTTACATAAGTCTTCGCCAAGGCATGTCTGGGTGCGGGTCCAAGATCGAGGCGGTAATTTTTACTACAGACCAGCCATTATTTTATGAATGAATTGTAGTCTCGGTTAACAATTAATCTTGATAATGGTGACTACGGACTGGCTAATCTAAACTATTTTAAGGTCATGACCTGACTACTTTCATTTTTATTTTTCACTAAAACAGCTAAAGTGATTTCGTTTAGATTTAGTAAGAACATCCAAGCGTAATTGAAGAAAAATGGACCCCGATTTAGCAGACGAATGGCTGTTTGAGTCCATGAAAAGGTGAAAATGATTTTAAATTATTTTCTACTTTGTCAAATGTAGTGTAGGCATAGGGTGATAGGCAAACAAAAAGACAAGAGAGTTCCATCCATATAAGTTATAAGCCATATTGTACAAGGATAATAGGCTCTCAAGGATCCTCTTTACTAGCTGATCCATGGCCAAATCTCTTGGCTATTCTCTTGTTTTCAAGAGTAACAAAGTAAGAATTTGAATTTTCTATTGTCCTTTGGAATACCTGTTAACACATCGATAAAATTGTTGTATTGAAGAACTTTACTTTTGATTTGTCGATGAGTCGTCTGAAGATTGTCAACAAGTTATATAGGTTTGTCTTCCAGCACTTGGTTTAATTTCTTGGCATTCACCTTTCCCAAATAATCAAGTTATCGTTATCGAAATTTTTCGTTTAGACTCTTGAATCGTTTGTAATATAATGATTAATTTGTTTTATTGTATTTTTCAGCTATGAGAGTTTATATATGTATGATTTACAACAACCTGTAATCACAGGAGACTGGGTCTCACAACAAGGTACAGTTTAACAGTCAAATAATAGAATGATGCCAATCTCACTCTTAAATTTCTCATCTCTTTCTTTCCTTTATTAGAGATTTAGCATTAAGAAAATCAAATTTTGTGGCTATTATATTTCGAGGAATTGAAACAGCAACTCTTGGAAGTTAATATTTGATAAGCTGAACCTACATCTAATTTTTTTCTTTTGGAACATGCCTCTAGGACAGGTAGACTTGAAACATGTCAACAGCATAAGATGAGCTATAACTTAGTACTAATACTAAAACTAGCTAGCCTGAATAGGATTGTGTATCCAAAATGCATGTTTTCAGTATGAGTCAATTAGATCCCACAGTTGTGTTAAAAATTAAACGTCAATTTTCCAGGTTTATGTGTGTGTATATCTGATGGAAAGAAACATGAAGTTTTAGAGTTATCTCTCCCTGATAAACTTTTATCACATCAAAACAATGAGGTAAGAACTCAGACAAAAAAACAGCATTTTATCACACCTTGAACATGTTTCATTGGTTAAGCCCCCCTCCCCCTTGAAATCTTGGGCTAGCTACAGGCCTTATCCATTAAAATTTTGGTTTTTATGGTTTCTAAGCCAAGGTAGACTCAAAAAGAAAAAGAACAAGAGAGACACAAGAAATGAACATAGGTTTGAGTTATAAATATCATATTTGATGTGTTTTCAGGGTTTGCTTAAAGATAGAGATTTTAGAGTAGAAACTGGTGGATTTTTAGATTTTGAAATAGTTCAAATCTGTCATATTAACAATACAAGGTATTCAATATTCTTAAACAGACCTTCTCCTACTAAATTTTTGGATTTGCGGCATTAGAATAGCTCTGGCGGTAGCATGTTTGAACGTTTTCTCTGATCCCTTTGTTTGAATCCTCTTCAAGTAAGAAATTCCTCGACCAGTGCTTCTGAGAATGTCCCTCCTTCAAGCCAATCTTTTTATGTTGAATATTTTCAAAATTTATTAATAATTTTTAAGGAGTATGGTAACATCTATTAAAGATAAAAATAGTATCAAAGTTTTACAAGTTGGTGGAACAGCGTCGAGTAAGTATCATGTTTAAAGGACAATAAGGATAGCTTCCCTTTAAATATTAAACACCTGTCACCTGTGGTCATTGTGAGATTGAGACTGTCAACTTAGCTAAAAAGGTTAACCTAAAACAAAATATCTAAGGCCCAAGCAAGCTTCATTTTACGTACGTCTTCATTTGTCTTGCCATTAAACATGGAATGGATACATATAACAAAACACAAGACAATATTATGGAATATAACACACTTCTTTAATATACTATGTGTTATATTCCATAATATTGTCTTGTGTTTTGTTTTATGTGCTCTTCGCTTCTATATGTCGTTCAAAGCTTACATGGTATGGATACATTTTATTGTTTCTTATTCTAGATCTGATTAGTTCGAAGTTGACTATTCACAACAACCAACCCTCAAAGTAAGTAAGCTAAGACAAAATTTCCCTCATTGCACAATGCTTGTCTTGTCTTCCATAGCCAAGTATGATAAAATGCTCAGTCTAGCTTAGGGATGATACACTCCATCCTTTATGAATTTCAGGGTTTTATCCTACAGCCATGTTGTTTTTGATAATAGTTGCTCATTCATCTGTTTGATTTCTGTTCTCAATCAATTATGAATTATTTTTGCAGTGACTCAGCAGTTTTTGGACTATTATCTGGCAGCCATGTTGTTTTTGGTAGTAAAATGTCTGATTTAACCATGGCTGACATTGAAACTGGATCTAAAATTGCAACAATTACAGGTAATTGTTTCCATTTTTGTGGCAGTGGCATACCTCAACCAAACGTCTCTGCTTGGTCTGCCTGGTTGGTGCTGCCATGGTTGGTGCTTCTGTAAAACAGCTTCAGTTTTATATAATGATGAGCACTTTTGCTTCAAAGTATTTCTGGCCTCAGAATCTATTCCATCATTTCATTTTTAATTTCAGGGGACAGAACTCCAGATAAAAATATCAGTGCCGTCTGCCCTATGGATAAAAACTTGTCTTTAGTCTGCGAAAAGGCCACTGGCAATGTACATACCTTGGACTCGAGAGACAAAAATTTGACTCTGAATTTTGAACAAGAGAAAAATTCCTCGCTTAAAATTACAAATTCAAATCAAAAGGATAGTGAAGCTCATTGGACAATGTACTCATCATGTGACCAAAACAAACTTTATCAATTATCCAATCAGGGCGAACTGAGATTTTTGGATCGAAGAAATTTATCGAAAGCAGTCACGTCTAAAACTGATTTAAAATCTAGCTCAGAGTCCATTGGACTGAAGGTTAGTAGGTCAAATATTCTTTTAAACATTTAAATCATTTGCTAAATTCAACCCCAAAGAAACATGTAACAATTTGATGGGTTGTATTACTGTTGACTGAATGTGTACAAGACCAAGAGTTATTTCCCATATATTTGACCTTATGATTTAAATATCTCATTTGTAAGATGATAATATAAATTATCCAGAAAGTGATGGTTAATTATTGTCTGAATATGTACAAGAAAAGTAGAGTAATCTCCCATATCCTTAGCCTTGAAATAATTTGTTTTCTGTTGTAGTGTTCTCCCTGTGGTAGCTATCTATCTGTCTCAGGTAAGTTTACACTTTAAAAGATCATTTTATGTACAACTCCTTGCAGTTTTTGCAAAATTTCCCTCATCGCACACTGTATAGCTTTGTCCATCATTTAGAAACCTAAAAGGTGCAAAAGTTACGGTTTTCGACGAATCTGTTTAATGTTCAATGCCACACAATTCCTTTTTTTTTTTTGCAGGTTTTGATGGAAATGTGCATCTTTTCTCGACATTAAAGTTGGAAAGTGAAAGTAAAGTTGATACTATATTTAGACATGAAGGTCATGTGGCTAATACTGACCAATCAGAATTGAGGACTACAGTTAATCTGTGGCATTCTAACCAATCAGATTTAGTTTTATCTGGAGCTATGGATGGGTCTTTGCATGCTTGGAGACCAGTGCTTGGTTGAACATCATCCTGAAGTTTAACAAACCAACTCGAAAGCAGTAGCCGCGGCATCAGAAACTTTTCATTGATATACTTTTAAAATCTTGAAACGAAATAAACCTCTGAACTCCAACAGATAAAAGTGGACACCAAAGGTCAGAGTTGAAAGTTAAAGGTCAAAATAAGGTATGAAGTTCTTTAGGAAATTTTATTTCCAATTGAAAATATCAGTACATAATGAACTATGTATAACAAAATAAAACACTAAAAAATTCATTACTGAATAGTTGGTTATTTTTAATATCTGTTTAATGAACTCTTTCATCACCAGCGCCGCTCTACTGGCCAAATAAAATTAAGATATCAAATACGAGCATCTGGTAAAGTGGCCATTTTAAAGTGACATTAACATCATACGCTTCAAGCCGTATTGTTGATAGTTCAGGGTATAATGCCATTTTCTTTTAATTCGCACTCAGGGTCTCCAAGTTCAAAGGGTTAACATGATTAGCATTTAAAGTAGGGCTCTTAATTTGGCTCTATTTGCCAGACTATATTTTAGTTGAGATGTAATATTTAACTTGTGAAGATGTGTTAGATATAAAAGTGCATAACATAATAAGTGAAGAAAATACAAAGGTTTTAAGGTTTGAGAGGCATCTAAACTTAATAATCTTAACATCTCTGATTGGTTGATATATTAAGTTCAACAATATTGACCAATAAGAAGCAAGGTACTGGAAGCATTTTAAATAAGTAATTATAAGCTTAGTGTGATGAAACTAAATTTGGCCAGAAGCTTAAGACATCACTCAACATCAAGTTTCAGCTTTCAGACTTTGATCTTAGAGCTCATAACAAAATGAAAAATTGCAGTAAAAAATGAAAATTATGACAAAATGAACACATGCACTATAAGATATATCACCATGGTAACAGCACTAGGATTTTCCAGGACTTTTATCTAATCTGGGTTTCTTCGGAGAACCAATATGTGACTGAAAAAATAACAAAATACATCTAGGTTAGCAACTATGGAATAGTATAATTTGCATTAATATACCAAGTAAACAATACTGAATGTGGACAGATGGGATGCTTAGTTGACAAACCAAAACACAGAGAGACATCAAGTGTCTTAGATGAGCAAGCATACCCAGCCTTACCAGCAACACTCACCACAATGCATTTGTTTAGTAAAGCCATATTACTTTCACTTTCGTTACAAATTTTAATTATATTTTGATTGAAATTTCTGCTCTTACCTTTTGCCATTTTTCGAGAAGTTTATCAGCCTCTGTATGGTAATAATTAAAGACGTCTGTACAGTCTCCCCGTACTGGACTAGTGGGAGGGTTATATAGAAAACAGTTATCTTTCACTAACATCATATCATTGTGAAAATCTTCAAATTCTTTATATACTCCAGACTGCAATGAAATACATGTAATGTAAGCTTCTTTCATTGAATTGTAAGCAAACCTGAAGTCAAATTTCTCTGTGGAAAGTGATAAGATAGCTTAAACTAAATTGGATATGCTGTTGAAGCAAAAACAAGGATCCTTGACCACAAATTTTAAAAACCTTTTACAAGGGTCTTGTCCGTGACCAAACCTCTTGACATTGATCTTTCTTGGATTCTCGTGCCCATTTACAGATGAGTTAACAGGAAAATCAGGAGAGATAACTTAGATAATATTCCACAGAAGATCTTAGACCTCTTACCCACCTCTAATTTTTTCCTGATGGTACCGAAGTCCATGGGATTTTTGATGATAGAATAATAATCAGGAGCATCATTTGGATCAACTGAAAGAAAGAAAGAATTACACTTGAAAACCAAAAACATACTACAAAGCCTGATATTCAATAACTTAATGTCTGACCATCCATGTCATACATGGATGGCACTCAGTTGGTAAGTTCTGAACAAGTTCTGTCTGGTCTCAATCAATCTGTATATATCACTTAAAATTTGCTACACCTATTCTCCACACACTGTTCCAACTTTTAATGACACAATGAAAAAGAAATTTGCTATGAGTAAGAGTGAGTTAGTTACCAGGTTGTGTAAACCAAGCTGAAGCATTCAGTTCTCCCTTCTCTCTGTTAACACCTCTATATTTACAGACTTTCTGCAACAACCTGAAATATAATACAGTACAACATTTATAGGGGAACCCCACAGTAATGTCTGATGGGTATACACAGTTTTCTGTCTTATATCAATATCATTCCTTTTTTAATAATCCTCAGGTAACTTACAATATTTGTGAAACATTAATCTGAAGGTAAAAAGATTATGAATTCAAAATCTTTACCTAGAAGCTTAAATGAGAAAAGAGGGTTGAATCATTGAACCATATCACAATCCATAAGTCAAAATCAACAGGCAGTGGAAATAAAGGAGGTAGACATGAAATGAGTACACTGATACACTGAACCATTTCAGATGGATATGACTGGTTTGTGCCGATAAAAGCTCTTAGGGATTCCAGCTTCCCCTGTCATATCTAATCAGATTCAATACCAGTGGCACAGCAAGGAAGGGGTCACGGGGGACAAAGTCCTGGTTGTGCCAGTGTTTAATACATACCCAGCAGCAGATCTGACCCAACCAGCTTGATATGTCGTGAACGAAGATGTTGATGATGAAGATGACTGACTGTCATCAAAACTAACTGGTGTCTTCCTTTTCCGTTTTCCTGGTCTCGATGGATCATTCTCACCTTGACTATCAGAACTGCTTCCTACAATGTGAGAAATAAAATAAACGGAGTGGAGTTTAATGTTTGATATAAGCGCCTGTTTGGGGCGAATGAGGACAGAAAATGCAATGCAGTGTCAATGAGGGACAGCGGTAACTCTTTAACCTAAGATGAAGTAACAGTTATGGTGAAGATGAGTGGCAACACAAAAATGACTACAGACCACTAAAGAATAGAATTGACATCATTCAATGGAGTTATCTCCCTTTTCATATTTAGAAATTGACAAAATTCAGAAGAGTGACCATGACCAGCCTTGGGAATTATTGTCATTCATTCCAGGATTTCAGCTTACCTATAGATGACTGGCTGGTCATCAAGAAACTTTCTTCAGTAGTAGACTCTTGAGATTCAGTTAATGGAGTTGCCTCCCCCTTTGTCAAGGGAAGAACTCCCCCTTTAATTACAGGGGTTACCTCCCCTTTGTTGACAACAACAGGGACCACAATTTTCGCTTGTACAACTGCTGGTTTCTCAATTGGAAGGACCTCTAGTGGAGTTTCTCGTATTTTTTCAGGAAGTTTTGCTGTAACATCTGGTTCTGTGATTGGTTGTAAATCACCACTAGAGGGCGCCACATGAACAGCAATGCTTACTGGTTCCTCAGCAACTGTGGCTGTGCTATCTCCAGCTCTTTCTGTGCTTGAGTCTTGTGGAATCACCTAGAACAAAGAATAATTTTCAGTAAGACAAAATTGAAAATGAAACCATATGGAGGTTTTCTTTATATCCAACTGTCAAGTTTAACCTATGCATCCTGAAGTACATAGGGTCTTGGCATATTGAGGTCACACAATATGTGAAAAATTGGATCAAAATGCATCCAATCCTCGTACTAAAAATAGCATTAACTCCCTACCTGTGTAATGGGGCTGGTAAGGATGCTCGTAGAAGGATCAGAGACCTCCGGATCAGGAAAAATAGGAACAACGATATCTTGTTCCTCTGGTTCATCTTTAGCCTCTGAAGCTTCTACAATGTTTTCTGCATGAGCATCTTCTTGGACTGGTGCAGAAATAAGATCCTCTTGGAGAAGGGCACCTTCATCTTTTTGGACTGGTGCAGCATTAGCATTTTCTTGGATTGATGCATCTTCTGGGACTGGTGCAGTATCAACAACTTCTTGGACTGGTGCAACATCTTCTGTTGTTGGTTTGGCATCAGGAACATCTGTTTCAGAGGGTGATGCAAGCTCAGGAAGAACCTCTGATATGGGTATAATGACATTAGGAGATTCTTTTGGCTCTGTATAATTAAGAAATATTTTCAATATGAGTTCATAATTGCTCACTGGAAACTGAAGATAAATAAAGTTAAAGAGAATTTTGCACTTATTCCTCTAGCCTGACCACATTTCTTGAAGAATTCGTAATTTTGCATTTCACTTTCAAGTAAGAAATTCATAATTATAAAGACGCAATAGTAGTAAATAGTTTGTGAATTGAAAGCAACTCACCTTGAGTTTGTTTTGGAGGAACAGAAGCCTGTTCCTGTTCATCTTCTTCGGTCAAATCAATAGTGGCTCCATATTCAGTATTAAAGTTACCTCCCTTTGTAGTCAATGTGGAGGGAATTGCCGCCACAACTTTGGCAGCAGACGTGGCAGGTTCAGCAACATATTGTAACGTATCCAAATCGATGTTCGCCTCTTCCAAGGAACTTCGGATTAAATCTAAGTTTCTCGAAGATTCTGAAGTTGATACTACAGCTGCTGTTCTCTTCTTCCCAGAATAGAAGAGACCAGTCTCAGGATCCAGTTCTCCAATAAATTGAGGATGAGGTCCTGCAGCTACTGGAGTCTGGTATGTGACCTCCTTGTCTTCCCGTAGAGCTGTGATCCCTGGTATAATCTGTGGATGATTCTGTTGAACGATGACTGCTGGTGGTGTAGCATCCTTTATCTAAAAAATGAAATTGGCTTCATGAGGCACTCGACTTTTTGTGTATCATGGAAGTCTGTCAATGCAGCAATACAATGTTTCTCTCATGGACTCTGATTGGATGTTTTACTTGTATACAATTCTATCAAATAGCTACACTTGGAAACTTTCAAAAAGAAAAGCTCCTCATGTAATAGTTCCATTTTGTGCAGCTGATGAAATGGAAGATCTTTGGATTCTGCTCAAAGCAACAGTTCTAATTTCTAATGGATTGCCAAGTCCTTAGTCACTCCTAAACATAAAAACTTCCAGCTTACCTTTTGTGTAGTAACAGTATATGGTTGATCACTGCTTCCTGTTCGACTGCCTGGTTCCATTAAAGTCATAGCTTGCTCTAAAATAAACAATGTAGTCCATCAAAGCATCAGACATTTTGGACTTTTGGGATGAACTTTCATGAGCAAAAGATATGAAATGGTGTTGTACATCTTACTGGCTATTGTAAAATCTAGTCAAACTGCTACATTTAAAAACTTCTGTGATAGAAGAAAGCTGCCTAACCTAGAGTGCCTATTCATGTCAAGGTAAAAAAAGCTTGATCCAGATCTTACCTAAGGTATAATAATTGGAAGGTGTGTGTTCTGATTCCTCTATAACTTGGTCTAGATCTATCACTTCACTGAAAATATTGAACATACCATTATGGAACAAGATGTAAGAGATTCAACTTTGACTTACTGTTTTAATGAGCACTAAACTATATTGGGATATTAATACCAATCAAAATATCCAACAATGTACCTTTAACTTATTGGATCACATGAAAACTTCATTAGCTGCAACCAATGTTTTGTCAATATGTTGTTTTGGATTTCTCCTTTCATTTTGGGCTTCGGATCGTTGATACTTGATTGTTTTTTAATGCATATTTTATAATTCAGCCATTAATCAGTAATTGACTTACGTTACTTCAGATTTCTCCTCCATCTCAGTCTGTCCTTGTTCCTGACCACTCATTCCTAATATGGCCTGTAACGTAGCAGGATCAGTGGCTCCACCTGCTGCCAAAGCTTGAGCTTGTTCTTCAGTAACATCATATTCAAACCATTCGTTACTGCCTACTGGATTTCCTACAAGGAAAATGAAAAGGAACTTTATACCCGTTTGGGTAACGTCATGCAGAGTGCAATGAGGGAAATTTTGCCAGGACAGCAGTATTTAATCTTTTGGATTTCTAACTGTCGAGGGATCTTAAACCAGCACAGTTGATAACATGCAAGGCCTTGGTTATTGTCACAAACGAATGACTAGATAATTTCCATTACTGACAGGAGGAAATAATCTTGACCAATGTTGAAAGAAGTTAGCACCTACCGGAACCATCACCAGAACTGTCAGGAACAATACCAGCAGCTTGTATTAGTTCAGCTAATAATGAAGATTTACCCTCCCCTCCTTCACTCTTACTCCGCTGTAAAATGGTAGCAGCCTAGAAATATAAATTACCCCATCATCCCTAAAGTTGAGCAAAAGCCCTGAAATTATAAGCATCTTTTACGATAGCTGAGTCATATATGGTGAAGTATTTCTATAATTACAAGAACCACAGACATCTGATAAAAAGTTTAAAATGTGCAAATTGATGCAATTAGTGTCCCTGATACACATAAAAAGAAAGAAAATCTCTTTACAAACACGTTAAGAATTACCTTTGTCTGCCCTCCTGTAGAAGCTGTTGTGATAATGACTTTTCGTTCTCCAATCTTACCAGCAGATGGCGTTCCTTGTCCTTCTTGTTTCTGTATAAATGTCACCAATTCCTTCCAAAAAAAAACCCCACATAATTAAATATTATTAGCTATGTGGACTCACTATTATCAATGACACCCATTGTACACTGTATAGCATTACCTGTGGATCAATCAGGAGTAAAAACAATAGCATGTATAACCTTACTTCACATATATTGTCCTGAATGGAACAGTGTTTGAGACAATGCTGAACATTTGAATCAGTCCAAAGTTTTAGCTCAATAAAAAAACAAACTGACCTTTTCAAAAGCTGTTGGATTAGAGAGAACTGTAGCAGCTGTTTTACCACCAGTAATATTGGATGTCTGTTGTCGTCTTTGTTGTGTTTTCTGTACTACTATTACATTAGGCTTGGATACTGAAATTTCAAAAAAAATGAGATGAATTTGAACATCACATAGTGTACAGATAACCATTCTAAAACACGCCATCAGTGCTACTATTTATAGCTCTCTATCTCATACACCTGCTCCCCCAGACACATCCCCTAAAAAGTTCTGTAAGTAGGACATTTCCATGTTTGATACATAGCTCACATGCATCTTCGTGTCAAAAATACACAGACAATGGTGTGATCAGTCATTGTCCCACACAACTATAAATAGAAAGACTCTAACCTGTGGTGCCACCTGATGTTTTAACGGCTGTAAGATGTAAAGTTTTAGGGTTGACTGTAACTACGTTAGGTTTAGACGTAGTAATTACACGACCTCCTGGTGTAGCTATGTTTAGAACTTTACTAGTCTGGCCACCTATAATACAAAATAAAATGAAAGTAACTCGGTAGGTTAGGCTTATCAAGAAAATTTTGCAAGTACTGGTCTGGCCACCTACATGTAGCTTAGTAGGTTAGGTTAGGTTGTCATGTGGGTTTTTTTAAAACAAAGTTCATGTAACTTTGTATGGAATATGATACAAGAGCAATGAGCAACAACTGATGCCACTGACACCACCATGACACGTGTGTAATCAGGGAAATTTTGCAACCAAATATCAACTCAGGACTGAAAAATATCTTCTGGTTGAAAATTCTATTTAAAGAACAAAAGAAATTACACAGGAGAATTTTCAGTCCAAAATGTGAGTCACTTTTAGGTGTATTGTCTAGAAGAGAAATGTGAACAGACCTGAACCAGCGTTGACGACTACAACTGGTGTACCAGTACTGGATGTTCCAATATGAGATGGCTTCGGTAGAATTTTACTGGATGATCCTTGAATATTCTGAGTTATAATCTTCATTCCTATGGAAAAGAAAAATTGATGAAATGAAATGGAGTTTTATATCCTACTGTTCTGTATCTTATTAGACTAATGAAATGAAATAGAGTTTTATATCCTACTGTTCTGTATCTTATTGGACTAATGAAATGAAATAGAGTTTTATATCCTACTGTTCTATATCTTATTGGTCTAATGAAATGAAATAGAGTTTTATATCCTACTGTTCTGTATCTTATTAGACTAATGAAATGAAATAGAGTTTTATATCCTACTGTTCTGTATCTTATTGGACTAATGAAATGAAATAAAGTTTTATA